TTTCTGTTGTCAGGCCACAGCCCTGGTGGCTGATACGGCAGCTCTTCCTGCTTTGCTTCATTTTTCACTGACAAATCCTCTCCCAGCTGGAGAGTCATGTAGTTTTAGAGTTGGAAGGGGCCTTCATAATCATCTTAATCCAAACTCCTGGCATTTTTGCAGACGAGGGAAACGAGACACCGAGAGGTGAAGCGATTGGGTCATGGTCACACCGCTGCCCAGGGAACGCGTGGGCCCACTGGGCCCCTCCCCTCAGAAGGGGCAGAGGGGACCCTCCGGCCGTCTTCTAGTTTGTTAGTTGCCAGAAGTTCAAGAGTCTTCCTTCACTTTCTAAAGCCTTTTGGAAATAATCTTTCTCCTTTGAAAGAAGTGAAGACATGTTTTACTCAGAAAACTTATTTTTTTCCCCAGACGGGTTTTTGTTCTAACCCACTGTGACTCCCCTCTGGTCTGACAGTGTGACAACGGTCTGATGGCCGGTGCTATCCAGCTGGACGCCTGTATAGCAGTCACAGCAGAGCCCCATGTGCTTTGGAACGTGATGTTGCCTCTAATTCAGGGAAGGACAGACGCTGGACACCGGTCAGCAAACTGCCTGGGTCTTTAGGGTGGGGGACCCTAGCGACTTCCTGAGAAGCAACCATTTATCAAACTGAAACTTTCAACAGGATCCTTGTCTCTGGAAATTAAAAATCTCACACCTCTGTCCCAGGACTGGGCTCCCCACTGAGCCCTGAGCTCCCACAGGGTCTCGCTGCCACTGGAAGCTGGGTGGGCGGTGCTGGGGTGGTGCCTGGAGCAGGGCCCAGTCCAGGAGGAAAATGGGAGGTCCGAAGATGACTTGTACATGAGAAGAGGAAGAGAACTCAAGGGGTGCTTATCGGGGACTGTTTCAGCTTGAGGGGGAGGGTCTGGGAGTCCTTTCCAGGGACCGCAATGCCCACCCAGTCCTAGCTCTCTCTCCACATTTCCCCCCCACACAAAATCATCTCTCAGGTCCGCTGTGGAGTGGCAGGGGAACAAGGCTCTGCTCTGGCTCGTCAGCTTGCCTGGGATCTGAAGCTTGAGTTTAAAAGCAAAGAAAGCCTTTTCTCTGCCCCTGTTGAAATATCTCTTCTGTGAGGCCATGTACATGGCAGGATCCTCCTTCCAAACAAAGAACGGATCTCAGGGGATAAGACAAGGAGGGAGAAACATCAATTGCTGGCTCCATTTGTAAGAGCTCACTTGAGGAAGAACAGGTACTGTTTAGTGTGACAGTGTCAGCTGGAGCTGTTTCCAAGAGCAGCAAACGCATTTTGCTGCATGAGCTAAGTTCATGGGATGATGGGAAACTGTCCTGGTAGATTTTCCTCAAATCTTTGGAGGACACATAGACTTTTTTCTTGCTGTAGCAAACCGTACTTTTGTACTGAAGTGGTGAGGGAATCCTGGAGCTCTGTGGTACGCGGGGATGGTCTGTGCTGGGTATTCTCCGTCCCTCCAGATCGGTTCTCCCCTCTTCTCTGCACTGTGCTAGGTCCCAGGGGGCTGCTCTCCCTGGGCCCTATCAGAGGGCTGCTCTGCCCTCTGGCTTCCGTTTGGATTTGGCCAATAGGAGGCACCCACTTGTCCATCACTGGGTGGTTTCCTTAAGCTGGTCCATGCCTCAGAATAATATCCTTCATAATAGCTCCCATTTGAGTGTGTAATCTCTTTTCCTGCTGGGACTTTGAACTGATACATCATCTAATCCAATATGGCCATTTTATAGATGAGGAAACTGAGGCACAGGGGGCCCCACTGGCTTTCCTAGCGGTGTCCTTTTCCCCCTTTCCTCCTCCTCTTCCCAGCCATGTTGAATACTCAGAGACTGAACCCCTGTGGCCCGGGAATGCCTGTTTGGGGTGAAGAACCCCTGGCACAAGAGTCTGCTCTGCTCTAATGTGATGATATGTTTCTAAAAAAAATTCCATTTATTTGAAAAGTAGATCCTTAAAATGGTATTGTAAGTGGTATATACATACCATAGGATATTTTTTGGTCTCAGAAAGGAATGTAAGCCTGTCATATGCAACGAATGATGTAGCTGAACCTTGAGGATGTTATGCTAAGTGAAATAAGCCAGTGCTGCATGATGTCACTGAGATGAGGGGCTGAAACAGTCAGACTCGTAGGAGCAGAGAATGGTTACGGGGAAGGGGGAGGAGGGAGGGAAGGGAGTTGCTGTTCATGGGTACAGAGTTTCAGGTCTGCAAGATGAAATAAGTGCTAGAGATCTGCTGTACAAAATTGCACCTCTGTTAACAACGCCATGTTGTATAGGTAAACATTTGTTAGGAAGGCAGATCTTGTGTTATTTTTTTAACCACATAAAAAGGAGCCAAATGTATTTTAATAGGTCAAAAAAGTAGCTGGGCATCTTCTCCGGGGACATGGCTGGGCTAGCAGAAAGTCGGGAAATGTCTCCTTCCTCCAGGCACGAAGCACCTGGTGCCAGGGCTGGGCCAGAGGAGGGTGAGCTGGCCTTGCCCCCCACCCTTCTCTCAGCCCGGCGCCTTCTACACACACCTCCCCACCCCACCATGTGAGGGGTCAGAATTTCTGGTCACGCCTCTGCCCGCGTGTGAGTGAATGAGTGTGTGTATGTGTGTGTGTGAGAGAGAGAGATTGAGATTCTTCTTCTATTAATTTTTCTAAGTTCTCTGAAGAGTCTTTGTTGAGCTGTCATATTTCACTGATTATAAAATTGATGTCATATTTCAATGTCATATTTCAACATGATTTGATATATGTCAAATCAATGTCATATTTCATTGATTATAAAATTGATTATAAAGGGTTTTATTTTTCTCACATTAAATTAAATTACTTTATATTTTGCTGTAACTTCATTATAATAGCAGTACCTGCAAGTAACATTCAGAGAAGTACAATATTGGAAATATTACATATCAAATCTTAGAGTTGACAAGAAATTAGAAAAACTGGGTTAATTGAGATAGTACAGTTCTTGATATTTGGTTGATAGTAATGATAATTATAGCAATTATTCATATTTGTAAAATACCATAGCCTCATTTTTCAAAGATTTGTCAGATTCATTATTTCTCTTTTTGTCAAGGACACTTTGAGGCACATGTTAGGTTACTATTGTTATCATGGTTATTTTCACCCCATTGCAGACATGCGGACAGTACAGTTCCAACAGGTAGAGGCAGAGGTCAAGCTAAGGTCATCTGGCTGCTAAGTAGCAGACTGGGGAGGAGGGTTCCAACTTCTTGTAAAGCTCTGTTTAATACCAGCAAACACTCCATGCATTTATTAGGTGTCACAGAAATTAAAGTACTAAAAACAACCTTTGAAGAGAAATAATGCAATATATTTAGACTTTCACATCCCAACTGAAGGGTTAGCAGTCCTTCACCAGGGGCAGAAGCGGAGAGCACAGAATTCTCAGGCTGAAGCCCTAGTGTGTTTCAACTCAGTTGCTAGATCCGTGGTCTTTGGCAAGTTACTTATTCTCTACTATCTAGTCATCTCATTTGACAAAAAGAAAGTGAATGTGTTTTAGGGTTACAAGGAAAAAAATGAATGAATGTTTGTTGAGCAAAAATTATGGGCAGGCTTTATCCTAGGAGATTTATATCTAATATTTCATTAAATAAGTTATTTTATGAAGGTTCTTTAGAAATTGTAAAGTACCATAAAAATCTCATTTGTCTACCTATCGCCTATTCATTCACTCAGTTATGAATGAAAATTTCCTTTTCTATGACCATTTCCTCAAGGCTTTGCCTAAATAAGTCTACAAGAGCTCTTTCAGTAAGTATAAAATAAAACTTCTAAATCTTAGTGTTGCACACCTGTTAAATTGGTAGCTATTTTTTCTTTTTTATTGTTATATAACAGAGCATTGTCTCTGACAATAAGTGAATCCTGACAATCAAAGAAATATGGTCATGAAGGAGGAAGCCTAGTGAGTTATTAGCATGAATCAGAAGATGAGTTGGAAAGCTAAGGTCTGAAGAATGAGCTGACTAATATTTCACTCAGTAAATATTTATTAGGCCTGTCCTGTGAGACCAGTGCTGGGCTAGGCATGAGGACACAGCTGTGGACAGAACAGCCCTTTGCCTGGGCTCACGGGGGCGACAAGATGTATTGCATGCATGAAGGGGCAGAAGAAGCTGTGCAGGCTTCTTTGGAAGTGTCAGTAGGAGAGCTTAAGATGGTCAAGGGAGCAGATAGCCTCCCTGAGGAGTGACACTTAGGAGAAAAGGACAACAGGAGTTGGTCAGGTGGAGGTGAGAGGGGAAGGGGAAGGTAGTACCGGCCGAAGGGGCAGCGTGCAGGGAAGCTGGGACGTGGCAAGAAGTAGTGCGCTGAAGGAAGTCCGGTGCAGCTGGGCACAGGTGATGGTGTGGAGGCGAGGGACCAGGCTGGAGAAGTTGCGGGGCATCAGGTGAGGAAGGGCCTTAAAAGCCAGGGCAAGGCTGGCCCTTCTCCCAAGGGTAAGAGGAGGTTGCAGGAGGGGTTTCAGGAGGGGTGTGGTATGTCATGCTTCTATTTTATTTTATAATATTTTATTTATTTTTAGAGAGAGGGGAAGGGAAGGAGAAAGAGTGGGAGAGAAACATCAATGTGTGTTTGCCTCTCATGCGTCCCCTAGTAGGGACCTGGCCTGCAACCCAGGCATGTGCCCCGACTGGGAATCCAACCGGCGGTCCTTTGTTTCATAGGCCCGCGCTCAATCCACTGAGCTACACCAGCCAGGGCTCATGCTTCTATTTTAGAATTGTCACTCTGGCCGCTGGGCTGTAGATCAAGGGCAGACAGAGGGTGTGGCAGGAATCATTCCCACATGATTAGACGGGTGGGAGCTGGGGTGGACAGAAGGTATGGAATCAAGCGAGGGAATCCTGGAACAAGTAATAGTTCCCATTGCTGACTGCATCCCCCTGATATGATATCCTCAGTTCCAAATTACCTAAGACGGTACCTTTATTTATTTTTAACAGAGTGACTTCTTCTGATCTGAGGCTTCAAGTGCTTTGAGAGATCTACTACCAGGTAAATACAGAAAATGTTTCCTCAGTTTTATACACATCACTTTTCTTCCAAGACATGCTAAGACCTAGATCCAACCTCTGATTTAACCTTTGCAATAGCCCTAGGAGTTATGCAGTATTTTATTTCTACCTTATACAAGAGGAAGTTGAGATACAGAGAGGTGAGGCCACTTGATCAGCATGCACAAAGATGTTCACCACAGTGTAAATAATAATAGCCAAGCAGTCTTGTTCAACTTGGGCCTTCATGCTTATGTTCCAAGCAGGCAGGCAGAGAAGGGCACAAGGTCATGTCTCCCACCTGAGTCCATCCAGGTAAAGAGTTGTCCTGGTTGCCTGGGGCCAGTGAATTTTGCCTTACTCTCAATGGCCAGCATGAGCTGCAGAGGAGGCTGGGAAATGGATCTCTGAGTTGAGCATCTTGCTGCTGCAAAGGAAATCAGGGCTGGGCTCGCTCTGGGTGGAGAACTACATGTGGACACCAGACAAACAGGGAGCTAAATATCAGCTTTCTTCCCAGTGGTCCTGAATTAGAGAATGAGCTCAAATTATGGACAGGATCAGCTGTAATCAGGCCTTTTATTACATTTATTGCTGAAATCTTTCCTGGAAAAGAAAAATACATGCTGCTGAGGACAGAAATAGAGAGGAGCGAGGTTCCCAGGCCCGCCTCCATGCGCTTTCCCTCACCGTCTAAACAGCCCCTGAAGCTGCGCCCTTGGGGAGGAGTGAGGGGTGCAGGGAAGGGTAGAAGTCATCTTCCAGTAGTTTTAAGAAGGTAAATCATTTTTATTATGTGCCTACAAAGGGACACATGACATCTTATTATACATTGTTACATATTGTGACAATTGCGTTGTTTGTTACTTTGTATATGTTCCCCAACTCCTGCTGTTAATGGCCTAGAGGTAATCTGATCTGGGAATTGAGACGGGGAGAATTCATGTGTTGAAATTGTGAAGCCTCACGAAACAAACAGAGATGGCCTGCTTATAGATTTTAAAGGGTGGGTAGAATTGTTCCAGGCAGAGAAGAAGGGTGATTCAGGGTGAATCACAGCATGGGCTGCAGGCAGTGGACAGACTTCCAGCTGCTTCAGAAGCTTATTACATGGTTCTTCACAGGGTCCCCCTACCTGTGTGCAAACACACACACACACATACACAAACTGCTGCAGCTGGCCCCACCTGCAGGGGGTTGGGTGCCCTTGCCGTGCAGCAGGCGCTGGCTTCTCTCAGCTTGTCATCCTGGACTCCTGCTGTCACAGTGATCTGGAAACCAGTAACAACCAGCCCTGCTCCCCACCCAAGGCTCAGCTCAGAACTGTGGGTTGACAGCTAATCGTCGCTGCTGATTGCTTTGCTGACAGTGCTTTGTGGCTATTTTGGTTTTTCTTGAGTGTTTCTTAATTAGAGGAAATGACAACGCATGCTGTTTAATCAGCCTCTTGTCAGAGATTATTACATTTGCAGGAGAATCAGGCGGCATTTGGGTTTGTTCCTGCCACGCTGGTATGAGGACCGCAGCCTGAGCTGTGGCCCCCACTCAGCTTGCAGACAGGTCTGCTGCCCGGGTGAGGAAGAGCTTTCATTGTACATTCCCCGTGTGGGTTCCAACTGCCCGGGACTCTACCAGGGTCCCTGGTCAGGCAGCAGAGTCCCGCTCCCAGTGGCCATTGCCCTGAAACTTCACACCTCACAGCAGCCATTGTCCTGACAGGATGCTCTCTTCTTCCTGAAATGAGACGTCTCAGGATTCCTTTGATATTTGCCTTTGTGGCAACACAGCTCCTATTGGTGATGTTGTAAAGGGTGTTTGCCCTGCAGTGTAGTAAGTGAGATCTTACTATGTTGCTTGAATTAACAGGAAAAGCAATCTTGAGTTATAAAATATTCCAGATTTAAAAATAACTGTGAGGACCTTTGCAACTAACTCTACAGGCTGCTGAGTAACTCTACTAGCTATTTTTTAAAGGGCAGTTCTTTCTAAGGCTCCTTTATTGAATGCTTGACTTAGAGTAGCTGCGATTATTTGCATGTAAACTATGAATGAACGTTTCAAACATCAATTTATTTGTCAAATGAATATGGCCCCTTCTTTTCCAATTTCTTGTGAGTCTTTTTTTTTGTATTCATTGTTAAAAGGATTTATTTGGCCTTCTGAGATGCCTTTGGGTTTACCAAAGCCAAGCCCCTGTCCTCGAGGAACTTACGTAGGAATCAGGACGTCAGCCTTCTCCAGTGGTCTTAGCTGCACCCTGAGGCTTGTGCCTGGCTGTGTGGGTTCTCTCCAGGAGTGGGGTTCAGTGTTGGAGCAGAGAGCACAGAATACAGGTTTGTCTACGGCTGGAGAGACAAGAGGACAAAGGAACCGAGGTGTTTTATGGAGAGACTGTAAGTGTGTCGGGTTGGGCACAGAAGAAAGGGAGGCCATGGTGTGTGCGTGTGTGTATGTGTGTGTGTGTGTGTGTGTGTGTGTGTGTAGGCTGAAGGCAGGGGATCTCAGTGAGGCAAATGGGGAACCAGAGAGTGGGTACGCGGTAAGGGTGTAGAACGACATGCTACCTAGCTTTTCCTGCGTGTCTGTCTTGTCTCCTCAACCACAGAGTGCAAAAGGGCCAGGCAGGACATGTCCTTTGTGCCCTCTTCAGCTCACAGCACACGCTCCTCAATGTCTCCTGAGGAAATTGGCCTAGCTGCGGGCTTTGGGAAGATCATGGGATCAATGATCCATTTTTTCATGTATATAGGAGGAATTGACATGTCCCTGGGTTTGTGTATATGATGAGCTCCAGTGTGATTCTGATACAGTCTGGTGGTGGTGTAAACACGTGTGGGCACACACACACACACACACACACACACACACACACACTAAGGTGAAAAGGAAGTCTCTCCTGTTTGATAGTTGTTCATTACTGCCAGGTGAAAGGAAATCACTGTCTCAGGGAGGCCTGCTTTGTGGGTGTGGTTTGGCCTCACCAGTGACGCCGAAAATACTGCTCCTTTCCACGGACCGCCGGTTCTCCCTCCCCTCTTTGTGATTTTCTGGGCTCAGTGCCTCTGAAAGCCCAAATGAGTGACGTAAACTTCTTTCTGATCCAACTACCGTTCCTCTGCTCCACATTCAACTTTCAGGTTGAGATTTAGCTAAAAAAAAATCTTCATAAAAGGCTTGTACAATTGGAGTCCCCCCCAAAACTGGGGAATACAATTTTAATGTTGGCATAAAAGCTAAAACTTCCTAATATCATTCCTATATGTACTAATATACTTTGTAATGAACTTGCTGCTCCCAGGGCACCACACCCGCTGTGACTTTTCTGCAATGTGTCTTTCCTTCCCTTGGCTTCGCATGCACTGGCCCAGCACTAGGACACGGGGTGGGGCTTACCAGTGTCCATGCCCCTGAAGTGAACGTGCCCCATTAAAACACACCAGCAGTGTCTCTAATGCGTATTTTCTGAGGTGCCATCTTAAAGGTTCTTCTGCTGTGCCCCAGACACAACAGACCTGACCGGAATCATGTGGTTGCCATGGCATCCAAAGAGAGCCCTTAGAAGCTCATCAACTTCTCCAGACAGAAGATGGTAAACTGCTCCGATAGAACATTTTCTACCTTAGAAGCTGAGAATAGACACGGCATTTATCTGAAACAGCAAATGTGATTTTCAAAAGTTCTCTCAAGCGTGATCTTTTATAAGATATTTGCTGAAAACTGCTCGGAGGTTATATGCTCCAGCAGTGACTTGCAGCAGCTTCCCTTTCATCTCTGATCTGGAAGCTTCTTTTTGAATAAAATAGAAATGTGAATGGCTCTAGCTAAGAAACTGCTTTGAATTTTACAGAAGAGTTGAAGTAGCTGCTCTTCTGTGTTCAGGGGGAGTGAAGCAAAAAAATGAGTCTACCGTGAGTAAAATGGCAGGCCTGCTTTCTTCGACGCAGCTTCTCCCCAAACAGTTCTTTGATGTTAATCTAATTCTCATCAATCACCAACTCCAAAGCAACTGAGCTTAGATCTTTGAAAGGATTGCTTTTTATAAAGTCTTATTGTCTGAGATTTCTGCCTAATGGGGAGGCCACTGAACCACTAACTTTTAGCTGTAGAGTTAGTAGGCAGGGATTGTTTAAGCCATTAATTTCTATTGCTTGACACGTAGAACACTGTGCAGTGTTCAAAGCACTTTTGTTGTAACAACTGCCTTAAGGCAGGGAGACGAGTTTTATGTTTTCATCTTCCCACCTTTTTTTTTTTTTTTTTTTGAATGAGGGGATTGAGGGTCAGAAAGATTATGCCTCCTGCCCTGGCTAATGTAGCTCAGTAGATTGAGTGCAGGCCTGTGAACCGAAAGGTTGCCTGTTCCATTCCCAGTTACGGCACGTGCCTGGGTTGCAGGGGGTGTGTGAGAGGCAGCTGATGCATGTATCTCTCTCATATCGCTTCTTCTCTCTAAAAATGAATTAATAAAAGAAAAAAGTCTTTTCTTATTTAAAAAAGAAAAGATTATACCTCCTTTAAAATCAGTTCTTACTAGGAGGTAGGCCTGGAATTAGAACCTATTCTTACAGTTCCTAATTCAGACTCTAGTTGTCCTGTCATGATGGGCGAAGTGTTGAGGATGGTGAGGGAAAATCTACAGATTGTTTGGTAATTAGCTGCTTAATCATCTGTCTCCTGATTTGAGTTTAAGCTCCCAAAAGGTAGAGATAATTTTATTCATTAGTATAACCCCAGTGCCTAGAATACTGACTAGCACATAGTAGGTTCTCAATGAACAGTTTTGTTAATAAATGAGTGATACTAATGCCAATACATCTGCCTATACCCTTCTTATGCATTCCAATGACATAAACAATGTTCACTGTGAGAATTGTATCTAAAATAAATAGGCAAAGATAGGGGCCTAGTGGGGGGTGCAGGTTGTCATCCACCCAAGTGACTGGTGAACACTGAATCGAGCTGCGGAAAAATACAGAAGAGATGGAAAATAGAGATCCTGTC